AGGGTAGTGGGGTTGCCTCCAAGCGAGATTTGAATTCGTGATTTGTTTCCTACTCTGGAGTGGGAGAGGGTGCAGGTGGTCAAATGTGGTCATATGTGGTCAAATGTGGTCAAATGTGGTCATATGTGGTCAAATGTGGTCATATGTGGTCAAATGTGGTCAAATGTGGTCATATGTGGTCAAATGTGGTCAAATGTGGTCATATGTGGTCATATGTGGTCAAATGTGGTCAAATGTGGTCATATGTGGTCATATGTGGTCAAATGTGGTCATATGTGGTCAAATGTGGTCATATGTGGTCAAATGTGGTCAAATGTGGTCATATGTGGTCAAATGTGGTCATATGTGGTCAAATGTGGTCAAATGTGGTCATATGTGGTCATATGTGGTCAAATGTGGTCATATGTGGTCATATGTGGTCATATGTGGTCAAATGTGGTCATATGTGGTCATATGTGGTCAAATGTGGTCATATGTGGTCAAATGTGGTCATATGTGGTCAAATGTGGTCAAATGTGGTCATATGTGGTCAAATGTGGTCATATGTGGTCAAATGTGGTCAAATGTGGTCATATGTGGTCAAATGTGGTCATATGTGGTCATATGTGGTCAAATGTGGTCATATGTGGTCAAATGTGGTCATATGTGGTCAAATGTGGTCAAATGTGGTCATATGTGGTCAAATGTGGTCATATGTGGTCATATGTGGTCAAATGTGGTCATATGTGGTCAAATGTGGTCATATGTGGTCAAATGTGGTCAAATGTGGTCATATGTGGTCAAATGTGGTCATATGTGGTCAAATGTGGTCAAATGTGGTCATATGTGGTCAAATGTGGTCATATGTGGTCATATGTGGTCAAATGTGGTCATATGTGGTCAAATGTGGTCATATGTGGTCAAATGTGGTCAAATGTGGTCATATGTGGTCAAATGTGGTCATATGTGGTCAAATGTGGTCAAATGTGGTCATATGTGGTCAAATGTGGTCATATGTGGTCATATGTGGTCAAATGTGGTCATATGTGGTCAAATGTGGTCATATGTGGTCAAATGTGGTCAAATGTGGTCATATGTGGTCAAATGTGGTCATATGTGGTCAAATGTGGTCAAATGTGGTCATATGTGGTCAAATGTGGTCAAATGTGGTCATATGTGGTCATATGTGGTCAAATGTGGTCAAATGTGGTCATATGTGGTCATATGTGGTCAAATGTGGTCATATGTGGTCAAATGTGGTCATATGTGGTCAAATGTGGTCATATGTGGTCATATGTGGTCAAATGTGGTCATATGTGGTCAAATGTGGTCATATGTGGTCAAATGTGGTCAATATGTGGTCATATGTGGTCAAATGTGGTCATATGTGGTCATATGTGGTCATATGTGGTCAAATGTGGTCATATGTGGTCATATGTGGTCAAATGTGGTCATATGTGGTCAAATGTGGTCATATGTGGTCAAATGTGGTCAAATGTGGTCATATGTGGTCAAATGTGGTCATATGTGGTCAAATGTGGTCAAATGTGGTCATATGTGGTCAAATGTGGTCATATGTGGTCATATGTGGTCAAATGTGGTCATATGTGGTCAAATGTGGTCATATGTGGTCAAATGTGGTCAAATGTGGTCATATGTGGTCAAATGTGGTCATATGTGGTCATATGTGGTCAAATGTGGTCATATGTGGTCAAATGTGGTCATATGTGGTCAAATGTGGTCAAATGTGGTCATATGTGGTCAAATGTGGTCATATGTGGTCAAATGTGGTCAAATGTGGTCATATGTGGTCAAATGTGGTCATATGTGGTCATATGTGGTCAAATGTGGTCATATGTGGTCAAATGTGGTCATATGTGGTCAAATGTGGTCAAATGTGGTCATATGTGGTCAAATGTGGTCATATGTGGTCAAATGTGGTCAAATGTGGTCATATGTGGTCAAATGTGGTCATATGTGGTCATATGTGGTCAAATGTGGTCATATGTGGTCAAATGTGGTCAAATGTGGTCATATGTGGTCAAATGTGGTCAAATGTGGTCATATGTGGTCATATGTGGTCAAATGTGGTCAAATGTGGTCATATGTGGTCATATGTGGTCAAATGTGGTCATATGTGGTCAAATGTGGTCATATGTGGTCAAATGTGGTCAAATGTGGTCATATGTGGTCAAATGTGGTCATATGTGGTCAAATGTGGTCAAATGTGGTCATATGTGGTCATATGTGGTCAAATGTGGTCATATGTGGTCATATGTGGTCATATGTGGTCAAATGTGGTCATATGTGGTCATATGTGGTCAAATGTGGTCATATGTGGTCAAATGTGGTCATATGTGGTCAAATGTGGTCAAATGTGGTCATATGTGGTCAAATGTGGTCATATGTGGTCAAATGTGGTCAAATGTGGTCATATGTGGTCAAATGTGGTCATATGTGGTCATATGTGGTCAAATGTGGTCATATGTGGTCAAATGTGGTCATATGTGGTCAAATGTGGTCAAATGTGGTCATATGTGGTCAAATGTGGTCATATGTGGTCATATGTGGTCAAATGTGGTCATATGTGGTCAAATGTGGTCATATGTGGTCAAATGTGGTCAAATGTGGTCATATGTGGTCAAATGTGGTCATATGTGGTCAAATGTGGTCAAATGTGGTCATATGTGGTCAAATGTGGTCATATGTGGTCATATGTGGTCAAATGTGGTCATATGTGGTCAAATGTGGTCATATGTGGTCAAATGTGGTCAAATGTGGTCATATGTGGTCAAATGTGGTCATATGTGGTCAAATGTGGTCAAATGTGGTCATATGTGGTCAAATGTGGTCATATGTGGTCATATGTGGTCAAATGTGGTCATATGTGGTCAAATGTGGTCATATGTGGTCAAATGTGGTCAAATGTGGTCAAATGTGGTCAAATGTGGTCATATGTGGTCAAATGTGGTCATATGTGGTCAAATGTGGTCAAATGTGGTCATATGTGGTCAAATGTGGTCATATGTGGTCAAATGTGGTCATATGTGGTCAAATGTGGTCAAATGTGGTCATATGTGGTCAAATGTGGTCATATGTGGTCAAATGTGGTCAAATGTGGTCATATGTGGTCAAATGTGGTCATATGTGGTCAAATGTGGTCAAATGTGGTCAAATGTGGTCAAATGTGGTCATATGTGGTCATATGTGGTCAAATGTGGTCATATGTGGTCAAATGTGGTCAAATGTGGTCATATGTGGTCAAATGTTGGTCATATGTGGTCAATATGTGGTCATAATGTGGTCATATGTGGTCATATGTGGTCAAATGTGGTCAAATGTGGTCAAATGTGGTCATATGTGGTCATATGTGGTCAAATGTGGTCATATGTGGTCAAATGTGGTCAAATGTGGTCATATGTGGTCAAATGTGGTCATATGTGGTCAAATGTGGTCAAATGTGGTCATATGTGGTCAAATGTGGTCATATGTGGTCAAATGTGGTCAAATGTGGTCAAATGTGGTCAAATGTGGTCATATGTGGTCAAATGTGGTCATATGTGGTCAAATGTGGTCAAATGTGGTCATATGTGGTCAAATGTGGTCATATGTGGTCAAATGTGGTCATATGTGGTCAAATGTGGTCAAATGTGGTCATATGTGGTCAAATGTGGTCATATGTGGTCAAATGTGGTCAAATGTGGTCATATGTGGTCAAATGTGGTCATATGTGGTCAAATGTGGTCAAATGTGGTCATATGTGGTCAAATGTGGTCATATGTGGTCAAATGTGGTCATATGTGGTCAAATGTGGTCATATGTGGTCAAATGTGGTCAAATGTGGTCATATGTGGTCAACTGTGGTCAAATGTGGTCATATGTGGTCAAATGTGGTCATATGTGGTCAAATGTGGTCAAATGTGGTCATATGTGGTCAAATGTGGTCATATGTGGTCATATGTGGTCAAATGTGGTCATATGTGGTCAAATGTGGTCATATGTGGTCAAATGTGGTCAAATGTGGTCATATGTGGTCAAATGTGGTCATATGTGGTCAAATGTGGTCAAATGTGGTCATATGTGGTCAAATGTGGTCATATGTGGTCAAATGTGGTCATATGTGGTCAAATGTGGTCAAATGTGGTCATACGTGGTCAAATGTGGTCATATGTGGTCAAATGTGGTCAAATGTGGTCATATGTGGTCAAATGTGGTCATATGTGGTCAAATGTGGTCAAATGTGGTCATATGTGGTCAAATGTGGTCATATGTGGTCAAATGTGGTCATATGTGGTCAAATGTGGTCATATGTGGTCAAATGTGGTCAAATGTGGTCATATGTGGTCAAATGTGGTCATATGTGGTCAAATGTGGTCATATGTGGTCAAATGTGGTCATATGTGGTCAAATGTGGTCATATGTGGTCAAATGTGGTCATATGTGGTCAAATGTGGTCAAATGTGGTCATATGTTTCTTGCATTCTTGTCCCCCCTCATTCCTCAGTGCTCCTCCCTCTTTGTCTTCCTGTTGGCTTTCATGATTCATCCCCATTGCATCCTAATCTTCTTCTCACCCCATGCTATGCCATGCCATGTCATCCCATGCCATGCCATGCCATGCCATGCCTGTTGTGCAGCTGGGAGTGCTGTTCCTCCCATGCCGAGTGAACGCTTTCATCCACCATCACGTGTTGAGGCATCAGCACGCACTCACTCATGCACCTTCTTGTGCACATGCACATACACACAGACAGCACCAACACCACCACCACCACGAACGGCACCAACAGCACCAACAGCACCAACAGCAGCAGCCTGCCATTGAGTTCATCGCTGCCCCATGGAGCCTGCTGAGAGAGAGGAGGGCGAACGATGGAGTAAAGCGAGGTGATATAGGAGAGAGGAGAAGGGAGGAAGACAGGGAGCGGAGGAGAGATAGGGATGGGGAGGGGAGGAGGGACGAGGAAGGGGAGGGGATGGGAGTGCGGGCGAGTGGAGTGGTGGAAGGGGAGGGTGGCCGCATGCGTGTGTTCTTCCCTCTGCCGTTTGACCTGCCCCCTGCCCCTCTCGTCACATCTGCGGGTAAGCCCTCGCTCCGTCCAGTTTTTTTCTCCTCGTCTCCTCATCTCCTCGTCTCCTCTTCTCCTCATCTCCTCGTCTCCTCTTCTCCTCGTCTCCTCTTCTCCTCGTCTCCTCTTCTCTTCTCCTCTTCTCCTCTTCTCCTCTTCTCCCCTTCTCCCCTTTTCCTCTTCTCCTCTTCTCCTCTTCTCCTCTTCTCCTCTTCTCCCCTTCTCCCCTTCTCCTCTTCTCCTCTTCTCCTCTTCTCCTCTTCTCCTCTTCTCCTCTTCTCCTTTTCTCCTCTTCTGTCAACTACTCTGCTCATCTGCACATCACTGCTCCCTCCTTGGCCAGTCAACCGTATGCGTTTGTATGCACGCCCTAGTCACTTATATTGGTGCAACTTTTGAAAAATTCTCATAAGTCCACAGGAGGTTGATCTCTCTTCTCCCCCCCTTTCCCCCCTCCCCCTCTCCCCACTCCCACCTTGAGTCAGGATACCATGCCATACATGCAGCCAGATTTCTATTTCTGAAACCCCTCAGCAAGACACACATGGATCCCTCTCCTCTTCACTCTCCCCTCTCGCACTCTTCCATCTCCCCCTTTCCCCCCACACCACAGCTCCCAGGCAGCAGCACCCGTGGAGGTGGGATGTGCCACACAGGCAGCCAGATGTGTTTGGGGAAACGTGGCCGCTGCAAGGCGCTTGATGGGGGGGAGATGCTGGAGACGATTCAGATTTGAACCCTCACAGGAAGGCAGCCAGACGTGTTCGGGGAAACGTGGCCGCTGCAAGGAACGTGAAGTGAGACGAATCGCTGCAGCTGCAATTCACTCCCTCCTCCCGCTTCTCAACAAGTCTCACTTGTAGGTTGTTTTATGGCGTGTGGGGGTGGGGCTTGAGTTGAGGGGGTGAGGCAATAGCAGAACGAATGTGCTGTTGCTTGCTGAGATTCATTTGGAAGAGAGAAATATATCCTTTAGCTGTAATGTGGTGGCACGACCGAGTACTCACTTCAGCAATACATACAGGGGCCTGCCTGAAACACCGATCCTTATTTTCAAGAAATAAAAAGGGAAAACAACCAGGATTAAACAAAAGGTGGAATGGAAACAGGCGGGTAGAGGAAACAGTGTGGTGTGGACCAACCACAGTACTGTTGTGCTAGCTTCATTGCATCATGGCAGCAGGTTGTTGTGCTGTTGCTGCTGCTGCCGATCTCAAACGAGGCCCGGTCCATTGTCTGCCTTCCCCAGGCCTGCTGCGGACCCTGCATCTGATGAGACGGTTTTTGAGTCCACTAGAAAGTCATTGCATCATGGCAGCAGGTTGTTGTGCTGCTGCTGCTGCTGCCGATCTCAAACGAGGCCCGTTGTCTGTCTTCCCCATGCCTGCTGCTAGCTCTGCATCCTCCTGGTTATGCGGCTTCACTCCCTTGGCAAACTCCTTTGTCCTGCACACTCGGAGAGAGGCAGAGGGGGGGAAGGCAAGTACTCATCAAGGCTCCTTTAAAGAGGTCATGTGGCGTCACTCCCTGGGCGAACTCGTTTGTCCTGCACACTCAGACAGAGGCCGAGGGAGCGACAGGGAAAGAGAGGGAGAGGGAGGGAGGGAGAGGAAGCAAAAGCGGGATGGTGTAGATATTCTAGTAATGATTCAGTCACCTCTGAAGAAAACGTTGGGGAACTCCTTGCACCCGCAGATGCAGGGCGGAAAAACATTTCCACGGTGCAACAAGCAGATTCGAGGCACATTAAGTGCACTTTTGAGGCGCCGCAAAAGGCATTTAGTGCACTCTGTTAGCAGTCAAACACCAAGGACATGGTCACGCGATGCAGCATGTCATTGCCACCGGTGCATGGGAGAAGTTCAGCATGTCAAGCATGCAAGCATGTAAACACGCAAGCACGTGAACAGGCATGCTAGAACCTCCCTCTTTCACAGCACCTTTCCCCAAACACTCCCCCCCCCCCCTTTCTTCCACCCTTTCCCTGTTCGTCCCAGCAACCTGGCAAGGAATGGCCTTACTAGTTCAATCACTGAAACCCTTTCCAATGTCGCGGCTGCAGTCACCATGTAAGGAGTTGTCATCAGATTAACTGTCCCACACATATCACGCTCCTCTCCTTCCATCTTTCCACTCACTAATGTCCTTCCCATCCCCCTCGTCGTCTCGTCCCTTCTTCTCGATTCGTTTTTTCTAAGCCTCTTTGTTGTGCCGCTGCCCTGTGTAGTCTATTCTACCCGTGTATTCTCTGGACCCTCTCTCTCTCCCTCTATACTTCCCACCATCCCTCACCCCTCCCTTTCTCCCTCCCTCCCTCCCTCCTCCTCCTCCCTCTCTATCTCCATCGCTCCCTCCCCCTTGCTCCCTCCCTTCCTCTGTCCCTTCCTCTGTCGATCCATTTGTTCATCCATCCTTCCATCTCTCCATCCCTCCCTCCCTCCCTCCTTACTCTTTCCTCCCTCCATCCCTCCCTCCCTCCCTCCTTACTCTTTCCTCCCTCCATCCCTCCCTCCCTCCCTCCTTACTCTTTCCTCCCTCCATCCCTTCCTATCTCCCTCTCTCTATCTTTTTCCCTCCCTCCCTCCCACCATCCATCCCCATCCTTCATATCCCTCTCCTCCGCACCCATGTCTACGGACTTATTGTGTTCCGCCTGAACAAGGTGACTTTTGGGTCGACTCAAAAGTCCCCACCCTCTCACCCACCATCCGTCCCCACAGTCCCCTTCATAACCCTCCCCTACGCACCTTCGTCTATGGAACTTGGACTTGTTGTGCTCCGCCTGAATTGCTGCCGATGCAAAATACCGACTGAAACGATTGAAATCAGCGGAAAGGGGAATGGGGGGGAGGGGATTGGGGAGGAAGGGAATGGGGGGGAGGGGAATGGGGAGGAGGGGAATGGGGGGAAGGGGAACGGGGGGGGAGGGGAACGGGGAGGAGGGGCGTCGAGGAAGAGGGAAGGGAGAGCGGGGAGGGCGAAAGGGGTGTTAGGTTTTGAAGGGGCTGAGCAGGAACAGGAATGAACTTGCAGAAAAAAAAAATCTGCGGTGGGCATTAACATATCAAGCGGAGCAACAAAAGGGCTAGGTCAACAAGGACGCCTCATTGGATAAATTTAGGAGTTGACCTAAATTCTGAACGCCGAGGTAGCCTCAAACGCCTGATGTATCAGGTAACCCCCCCCCCCCCCCCCCCCCCCCCCCCCCGAAAAAAAACACACACAACACACACACACACACACACACACACACACACACACACACACACACACACACACACTCGCTCTTTCGAATTTTGAACCACCAGCGCACTGTAGAGAAATCGAACGAAAAAACAAAACACCGAACCCTGAACCCCGACTCCAACACCAAGCTATCACATCACCAGCCCCGAACCTTGGGGACTTACAAGTAGATGACTCATCTGAACTGCCCCATGCCCGGCAGGTCCTAGCCTGCCGGTGGCTTATCGGTAGAAAATCTCCAGAAAATTGAAACCGGATAATAAAACCCGAGGAGACCTACTCGCAGATGGTGCAGCGGAACTGGCCCATGCCCGGCAGGTCCTCGTCGACGGGCGGCTTGGCAAGTTCAAGCCAATCCCACTGGAAAAACAGAAATCACACACATTCAACGCAAATTTGAGAAGACCTACTCGCAGATGGTGCAGCGGAACTGGCCCATGCCCGGTAGGTCCTCGTCAACAGGCGGTTTGGGCACGTCCAGACCCGTCTCTTGCGCTATCGCCTGCCGCTGCAAGTCGTCGAACACTTGGTCGTCAGGTGGTTGGGTGAATTGTTGGAAAAAACGGGTGTTAGGGTTTCCGAGAAGAGGGGGAAAGGGGTTTACGGAAAGAATGAGGGTTTGGGATGGATTCAGAGTTGGAAAGAGAACCGGAGTGGGCGGATCATGGGTGGGAGGAGAGGAAGGAGGGGGGGGATTGAGAACGGGAGAGAAAAGGTAGGAGGGGAAGAGCACGAAGGAGAGCCACGGAGGACATAGGTTAAGGCGAACCGGGAACGGAGAAGAAAAAGAGAAGGATTTACGCGAGGCTCGCGTGGAAAGGCGTGAAGAGAGAAAGAGAAGCAAAAGGAAACGGAAGACGAGTTTTTAGGCCGCTCAAAACAAACGGGGGTCAGTCAAGCAGCGTTGAAGGGAGGATATCTTTCTTAAGAAACGCCGTCCGCGCTGCCCGCTTCTGGATTTTGCACCGTCTCTTTCCGCCAGACCGATTACTCGGACATTTAGGCATCGTGTATAGTCAGAAGGTGTGGCGACGACGATGGCGACGTGGACAACGACGACCACGGCGACGACGGCGACGACCAAACGACAAGCCGGCACGGACGAGACAGCGTGAGCACGAGAAGAGCTGGAATTGAGCTGGACAGGGGTTGCTACGAGGTGTGAGGTAGAACGAGTAACTGTGGAGGTAAAAGCTTGGGAAGAAAGGAAATGAAAAAGGAGCAACGGGTGCTGCGGTTCGGATGGATGTAGGACGTGCTGCTGGGTTGGGTTGGGAGGGAGGTACCCAAACTGGAAGGGTATGGATGTTGTGTTTTCCCTAGCTGGGTTCGCGAACTGCTTTGAAGAACCTATGTTATTCGTGTGTTTTGGCTGTCCATCAGAGGACCGGGTAACTTTAGACCTTCGTGTGATGACAAAACGAGGTCTCCGGCGAATTGAACGAAGTTAAATCTTCCTCAACGAAGCTGCGATATTTACGCACAGATCCTGCGGGTTCGCTCAGAGAAGGCAAGCTGAATTTTCGGATGTGCATAGCTGGTAACTAGTTGTGTAAGACAAGGTGCATCTTTCATTTACTGTCAGCGTTTACATCATTAGGAGAGATTATGTTTCCTCAGCATAGCTAAGCACAACTACACTTAACTGGCAAACTATATGTCCAACACCTGCAAGACAATACCTACTTGTGTATAATACGGCATCACTGTAGAGTACTTATCTCAAGGCCCCACACATGCTATCACCTCAAGAACCCAATGCTGATGCAAACTGGGACAGTGGGGTGGGATGCTTCTGAAATGGTGGCTGGGGAATGGCAAGCCTGAAGGGGCATGAGGGAGGTGATTGACAGGTGAAGACAGTTGGTGCCACCGAAGTGCCACCTCTGCTACACATGTTGCCATGGACTGCTAATAAGCTGCAGTCCTTTGGCTGCTGTGCCACAGCAGCAACATGATGCAATGAGGCAAGTGATGAGAACAGTGCTGCTGTGGAGAACCATGATGGTGATTGATGGTGGCATGAGGTGGGCCCCAGATGAACCTACACTTCACTGAGGAAACTGCACCACTAACAAACAGGTAGAACAGACAAAGGGGAGGCAAGGGAAGGGGCGAATCACACAGAACAGCCCATGCAACTCTTACGCCATCCTCAACCACCCTCAATCAACCAAGCCACCAGTTCATGTATCACACATAAATCCACCTGACGCCTGACACAACCCAACAACCCAAGCCTTGCCCTCAGTAGCATCCACCACACTTGATCCCTCATCACCCTCCTCAACCCCTCATCACGCTCTTCTTCATGGCAGAGCCGCCAGCTGAAGGGGATCGTTCAGCAGAGGGCGGCTGTCCAGGCACGTCTTCAAGCCATTGCCCAGAGCAGCTGCCTTGGACACTAGGAGCGAGGAGAGCGGGGAGAAGTGCGCCAGCAGTCCTGGCAGGCCGCCCTTCGCCTCTGACGCCTTGCCGCCGCCCTTGCCATTGCCTCCCTTGCAGACACCATTGCTGCTGCTGTTGCTGCTGGAAGACACTGCAGATCGCAACGCTTTGGTCTCTGACTTGATGGTTTCTGAGACAGAACAAGAGCAGCGCCAAGAGCAGAGTGATAAGGGGAAAAGCGATCAGCATTTCAGTAAGAAAAGAGGCGACTACCGAGCTGCTCGACCTGTCTCAGTATCATGCAAGACAGAGATGGAGGTGTGCAATCAGAACATGCAACAGCGAATATCACATACTCTTGGAGCCAGCTGGAGCAGCCTTCCTGGTCTTCTTCTCCGCCTTCAGCTCCGTTGCTGCCTTGGCCTTTCGAGATCGTCGCGTCCCCGACGGCCAGGTCGCAGCATTCACATGCTGCTGCTGCGACTGCTGCACCTGCTGTGATTGCTGCTGCGCCTGCTGCTGCGGTTGAGCTGCGCACGCCTGAACCTCCTGCTGCCCCTGCTGCTGCTGCGGGAGTACGTTAGGGGAGTTGGGAGACTTGGGAGAGACAGGAGACAGTGGTATTCCAGTCGGCACACTGCAAGGCCCCACCACAGGCACTTCTATTCTCATTGCACCACCTCCAAGACCGGTTCCCGATGCACCAGCACCAGCCACAGCACCAGCGACAGCGACAGCAGCAGACGCTGGCGCCACTGCCGCCACAGACACTTGCTGCTGCGCGGCCCCCACAACCACTGCCCCCGGCGCGACTGCCGCCAACGAAACCGCCGCCTGCGGAAGCGGCGCCGGCGCAGGCGCAGGCGCCAGCGCGAGCGGTTTTGGTTTCTGCCAGTGGTGGCGGTGCGGCAGACCCACGAGCTGCCTCAGCTGCCGGGTCGCCATTCCGCGCACGCGCATCCCCGTAGCCGCCACTGCCGCCGCCGCCGCCACAGCGCCGGCAGCCATAGCGGCGGAGAGCATCCCCAAGGGACCGCCGGCCGCGCGGAAGATTGCTCCGCCGCCTATGGCGGAAGCGTGGGGGAGCGCGCGGCGGAGAGCGACCATGGCGGAAGACTGCACGACGCGCGCCAGGCGCTGATGCAGGCGGCCGGATTGGATCCCCACGCGGAGGAGAACGGCGGAGGAAAGCGAGGTGAAGGCGGCGTGGCAGGCGGTGAAAAAGCGGTAGGTGTTTTCCTTCTCCAGGATGCGCTGGCAGATGATTATGACGGGGTCGACGGGCTGCCAGGGGCGCGCGCGCATGCGCAGGTTCATGTTGGCGCGGATCAGGCGCGCGGAGGCGCGGTCCACGCCGGTGGTGTAGTGCACGAAGGCGTCGACGAAATGCCTGGAGGAACCATGGCGAAAGTGGTAACACACAACACAAGACGACGGAAAAAAAATGAAACAAAAAAACAGGGAAAAATATACATACACCAAAATGAACGAGAGGTCGCTGAGCTGCACAAGCTTGCCCAACGCTTTCTCTCTACTGTTGGCTTGATCCGATATCAGGCAGACAGTATCAACGCTTCCACTCCTGTGCCAACTGCAAGGATCGGAGCGCTCGGGGGAGGTGGTAAAGGGAGGAGGAGGTCCCACCTGCAGTCGTTGCGGTTGAGGAGGTAGTTGAAGTCGAGCGAGGAGTAGAAGGCGCGCATGTCCGCGATCGACATGCGCGTCACGCCCACGCGCACCGCGGTTTCGGGCAGTGTGTTGATCTGCGGGGGTAAAAAAGAACGGACAAAAATAAAAGAGGCGGACACGGGGGAGCCAGGGGAGCGGATGAACGAATGGAAGACGAGAATAACAAAATATATGCCAGAATAAAATCTAAGTTGGAAAAAATAGATTCCAGGGAACAAGGGTTTTGAACTCAACATCTGAACTCCTCCAAAAAGTTCGGATGAAAGGTTCGCATCAGCCTGGCGCGTACCAGCTCTTCGCGGATCTCGCCGTTGGGTGGTGGAATGGCGCAATCCGCAAGGTCCATCTGGTGGAGCGTGAGGCTCGCCATGCCGCTGCCGTGCCCGCCGCCGTGCTGCAGCAGCGCGTTGCACGCCAGGCCCTGCAGCCCCATCCGCTGGGCCTGCTGGCGGAACGAGCCGGTATCGACGCAGCCGCAGCTGCTGCGACCCTCGCTCCGATCCAGACTGCTGCTGCTGCTGCTGCTGCATCCGTCCTTGCGACTGCAGTTGGTGGGAGTGGCGGTGGCGGCGGTGGTGGTGGTGGTAGTGGAGGGAGTGGAAATGGTGGGGGTGGTTGGCTTGCTGCAGCTCATCGTACACTGCAGTAGCTGATCTCGCCGAAGGCCTCCCGCGTTGCTGTTTCCGGCAATCTGAAGGCTGCTACTGCTGCTGTTGCTGCTGTTGTTGCTGGCCGGCCGCCATTCCACGTCCTTGCCGCGCGGTCCAAAGTCAAACTGGATCAGCTGGCCCTCTGGGGATCGGATTATCGCCATGTAATGGCACAGACCAGCGTCTCGTAGCTCGTTCTGCAATCGAAGACGGTTGAGACAAATACTGAGATCAGTGATACGGATCTATAGACTATACAGGAAGGGGAAAAGGGAAGAAGGTATCTCTTGACTATACAATTATCAGTGTCACTGAAATTAAAACGGGGGGGAAAAAAAGCCGAAGCAGCTTATTCAGCAGGCTTATATCTGCAAGATTGGGATGAAATAGGACGATCTTTAGAAGCAAGTAACTCCTGCACTTATAGTCGAAGGATGGCGCTACTAAGCCATGATGAAAGACATTGAGATCTGCGATGGATCGTTCGCGAGTCAAATCGCAACAAACACTGACGAGATCGAAGTGGGGGCCATTTCGTCCTGTCAGGTCCACAGAAACGCGATCTAGGCTTGCGAACTCGCGATTAGTATTTTTTCTGGCCGGGCATGAACAGAGATGTGCCATGGCCGGACAGATCTACAAGAACGGGCGATTTACCTTGACCGTTGTGGGTAGCCTGTGGTAAAACTGGCCGCTTAGCTCACGCAGAGCTCTGTAACACATGAAGACCTCCCACTCGGTTTGAGAAACATCCATTCCACTCTGAGCCAGTTGCCCCTGGCTCAGCATGCTTTCTGAAGTTAACATGGTGTCCCGAAATCTCGAGTCAAGAAGAGAGAGGACGCCTGAATTATGGTTGGATGTTTCAAACCGCGAGTGAGTGGGGACGACGCTCCTGAAAGAAAGCTTGCGTGAGGAATAGACTCCTCTCAACACGCCGTGATGTCCGCTTAATGTAAATGCGCGATCTCTGTCAAACCCTCGCGAGAGGATAGGAGAAGGCTTGACGACATGCGAACTTGAATCGTCGGTCCTATCAGTGGGATGTGATCGCAGGTAAAGCACCAGTCACAATGATCGGAACCAGTCAGGCAAGAAGACACAAGAATATTCCCCTCTACACCAGCCCGCCTTGAATGGCGCTGCAGGTAGATCTCGCGCCTTTCCAGCACGACTGGCAAGGCCAAGAAAAAGTTCCAGGCTGCTAGGGGTTCTTGAATGGGTCGGATGGAGCAATGGCCTGGCCAGGGGACTGCGGAGGGTGGAGTGGAGTGGAGCATGAGGGAGAGATTGGGGCGCTGCAATGGGGCAACGCAACCGCCAGGAGGCCAACACATTGTACAGAAGTCAGGCAGGCGAGCAGGGCTTTTCGCTTTCGCTTTTCCCTCGCTCGCCCTGACTTGCCCCCATCGCGGCTGTGATAGAGCAGTCACCAGGCCAGCAGAATGGAGCAAAACGGAGCAGACAGCCGAGCAGTCGGTCAGCCAGCGCACTGCGCGCATGCGCTGTGCCGGTTGACTCGAGGGAGCAGAGCGGAACAGCCTGCGCGGCACTGCGGAGGGAGGGACCCCCTTCTCCCCCCCGTCCAACACAACCGACCACGCAGAGTGGCCGTCGTGGAAATCGAGGGCGCGCGCGAGCCGTTTGCTGTTGCTGCGCAAGGAACCAGCTCTGCTCCGCCAGCCAATCTCCTCCATCGCCGACTTCTGCTACACAGTTTGCCCCTCGGGATTGGTGGACTTGACGGAGAGTCACATATGACGGGATCGGGGGAACATTTGGCCCCCAATTCCGCTTGATTCCTTCCAGAAGTTCACTGGGAAGCGGACATGCGCGGGAGGTTTTACACGCTCGAGGCTGGAAGTTCACTGGAGGGGGAGGTTTGCGCTTTTTGGCTGTGCCTCGGGTTGCGCCTCCCCAGATTCCGAGGTCAATTGGCACATGTCGCTGCTTGGGCAAGTGGTCTGCGGAAGACTGACCTGGCCTCGCACAGCTGTGGTGGCGGTTGTGGAGGGAAAAGATTCCCAAACGAGGTAAAAGCGGGAAACACAGAAGCAGTAAGGTTCGGCGTTAGGCTTGACGTAACGCATGGACCAATCGAAGATTACCTTGGCTATTTCGAAGTCGTTTGCCTCACACGCATGGTGTGACTCTGACGCGCAGCTCAAAGCAGAGGTATCGGCTCGGGATTCAAACATTGCCTCGCTGGCGGATTCCACAGGCGTGTGGTGTGGGCGCAATCAGCATCATCTTCCGACAGGTGTGGATTCCTCCGCTGAGTAAAATAGATCTGTTGGCAGCGGCACCCAGCACCTGGGTAAGGTGAAAGCTCATTCGCCAAATTTTCGTTAACATGGGCTTTCATTTGCCACATCATGTTTGGAAAGTGCCACGCCCCCAGGAATGTGGACACCTGGACCAAATATTGTGGCTTTTTATGCGGGAATCTGGGGTGCAATCGTGTCTGACACGAGGGTATCAGTGCCCAGGAGTACAACCAATCGCAGTCGTCGGTAGAAGTCCTACTCCCGCACAGCCCATCACCTTCAGTCCTTCCCTGTCAAGTTCGACATTTGAGTGAGCGTTTTTTTGCATGGCAAACCAGGTCGATTACGTACGCAAAATCTTCTTTGTAACCTCGTGGTTACTATTGTTGGACAACGGTTACGACCGTCTTTGTGCAAGGAATTACAATTCCTTACTGTACTCGCACTTTAGCGAGTACATCCCGAAGGTCACGCGACGAACCTGCTCGGCCTACTTCGTCGGCCGAACTACTCCCGAGTCGGCCTCCGCTCCAATCGCAACCATAACCGAGCCATCCTCGCCCAACCTCTCCGCCTTGCTAGGACTTCCCTGTCAGAATCCCAACCACTAGACCATTGGGATAAAAGGGCTTGTTAAGTAGCGGGTCAGTGCGCCCATAACCCCCCAGGCCAACATGCCTGTAACCCTTCCCTAGGATCAATCGGGGATCACCAGTGGACCTCTGACACCCCCCCGCACTGGGATGCCCGAAGTGCAAACACTGGGATTCGAACCCGAGACCGCTCTGATACCATGTCAGAATCCCAACCACTAGACCATTGGGATAAAAGGGCTTGTTAAGTAGCGGGTCAGTGCGCCCATAACCCCCCAGGCCAACATGCCTGTAACCCTTCCCTAGGATCAATCGGGGATCACCAGTGGACCTCTGACATTCCCCTATTTAGGCCTCGCTACTTCATTGTTTCTTCATTTTGTAATTCTCATTCTCGTTATTCGATATTCTGCGCACTCTGCAAGTTCATTCATAACACCTGGTATCAGAGCTACTTTCCTAGCCTACCCCGCTTTTAGAGTGTAATATCCCTCGGGGGGGGGGACGATGAAGGATGTCCTGGGGTCCAGGAGTTGCCTAGGCCGGCCAAGAGAACGGGTTAGTTGCTCTTCGCGGCCATGGATTTATCGTGCACTCCTCGGCACCGCCGGATCCTTGCCTCGAACGGTCGCGATCGACCGTGGCCTCCCTCCCCCCGGGCAATGGACAGCTGGAGCTGTCGCGACGTTAAACGTGAGTTATTTCCGCTGCGTTCCGACGATTTCGGAGTTGATTTTCGTGTGGCAGCTGTCCTGGTGCGGCAGTTGGCGTAGTTGTTCGTCAACGTGCGCGCGAGATTTTCGGAGGTTTCTACTGTGAAGAAAAGGGCAGCTCGAAGAACTCGCCATGCGCAAATGAAGTTTTGCGTCAGAGGATCCCGACGGCTGGGAGAGATAGACGCTCAAGCCGCCCGAATTAAGCGGGTGTTGAGTTTCATCCCGTCCGACCGGATAGTACGGCGCTTACCGTATTGGCGGACGTGTTAGAATATATCTGTAACTGCCTGTAGCTGTAGTTAGTGTAGTTATTATAAACTTTGTTAGGTGGTGCACCTTCTTTGTTCATTTGCTATATGTTCTTGCAAACCTATAGTGAAGTCATTCACTCTCCTTTCCAATTCTCTCGACACTAAGCTACTAAGCCTATGGTTCCTAAGCCTACTCATGCTTAGGATTCTAACAGGACGAGTCGTCGACGATTTTCGGCAGAAGTGCTTGTGGACAGACGGGAACTTTGGACCCGCCGACACTTACGGGCCGCAACAGACAACGACGTGGCTGAATCGCACTTAGCGGGAGTGGGGCGCAGGCGCGAGGGCATATCGGGACTGAACACCCGAAAAATACTCGTTTGTTGCTGCGTGCCTGGAGTTGCTTGCTAGCTGTTCGACAGTTTCGAGATCGGTTTCCCCGTTCAAGGAAGCCGTTTTCGGGGACAGCCGCAGCAGCCCACGATTAAACGGTGTTCAAGGCGCTACCCCGACAATTTCGGAGTGTGGTGCAGGCCGCCGGGACACGCGAAAAGAGACTGCCCAACGGCTAAGCGGGGGTTGAAGAACGTCGTGGGGAGCAGATAAAAGCCGGTGGAACCGATCTGCGGCCCTACTACGCCCGAACCTCACCATCCCCACCGATTACTGGTTCCGACTCATGCAGTCGACCTTATTCGGATGAATAACGGGGGTGAACACGAGCCTACCCTGCGCTAGTTAAAAGCATCTGGTTTGGTGCCCGTTCGACAGCTGTACAGAAAAGACAAAAAAGGGAGTTGCGGCACTGTTCTGCTCCGACAAAAGCGGGCTAGGTGAAACAGCACGCGAAAAAATCAGGGCGCCGCACGGACAACATTGGTGCAGTTCGCTGGTTTCTCCTGACCCGGGCGTCTACACGAGGTGACGTCGCAGCGGCGAAGCAGGGACCGGGA